GAACATCTCACATATGAGGAGAGACTGGGTGAGGTGGGCCTGCTTTCTCTGGAAAAGAGAAGGCTGAGAGGGAACTGATTAACATGTATAAGTACATGAAGGGGGAATGTAGGGAGGAAGGGGCCAAGCTCTTCTCAGTGATGGCCAGTGATAGGACAAGTGGTAATAGTTGCAAACTGCAACACAGGCAGTTCCATCTCCAGGTGAGGAGGAACTTCTTCACTGTGAGGGTGACAGAGCCCTGGAACAGGCTGCCCAGGGAAGTATGGAGGTCTTCAAAAACCCACCTGGATGCCACCCTGTGCCCCGTGCTCTGGGTGTCCCTGCTGGAGCAGGGGGGTTGGACTAGATGATCTCTAGAGGTCCTTTCCCAACCTCAGTCATTCTGTGATTCTGTGCGACTCTGTGTATGTGTATATCTGTTCACATCCAAAATAAACTCAGGCCTAGTCTAAAAAAATATAAAAATGGAATGGCTCAATTTAGGGGAGTTCATAGAATGAGATAATTCACCACTTCTTCCTTCAAAACTAAAACTGATTGTACACAGAATCAGAGAGATTACTGATGAAAAATCAAGTGCAATACATTAGAGGTGCCATTTTGCAGCCTCTGACATGGCATGCTTACTCATATACGCTGAACCAGAAGTGAGTAATCAATCTGAGTCATGCAACTGATTCACACTTTTGGGCATACAGCTGTCACACAGAAAGAGAGCACATATGCAAGTCCATGCTGCTCCATCTATTTGTTGGATTCTCATGTTCACTGTGAGAGACTTAGTGAATCAGAAGTGTCCACCTTAATATTTAAGCCTGGTTAAGAACTGCACTTTTAGAGCAGTTCTTCTCACGCTTTGGTTTGCGCTTCAAAGTGGTCTTGGCACATTTGAACTGGACTCCCCTAGATGAAGCTGAACCAGATGGGGCTGGGAAGCACAAGGTGCTCCAGCTGTTAACAGAAAGGCAGTCCACAGGACTAGAATGAAGTCCAAAGTAAAATATTCTGTAAAATACAATATACAATACTCTACAAAAAGCAAGAATAGATAAATATCCTAGCCGTGGTTTTCACTGTCAAATTGCTACCTGTTAAAACAAAAGAAGATATCCTGGTAACAAGTTAGAATGAAAACATTCCTACACTGCAGAAAATTTTGCACAAGAAAACTCACTGTAAGATCTTATGGAAGGAGAAGGAAGTATTCATTTACAAAATCTTGAAGTTAAGTTGATTTTCACCCACTCATACTCATTCTGTTCTAAATTTCATTTACTCCTAAACCTATACCCTCACAAGCACCAAATCTTGTGTTTCCAAGTGTCTGCCACTTGCACATGAGGCTGAAAACAAGGGATGCGAACAACACTAAAGTTTTCACCGTGCCTCTAAGGTTCCTCTTAACGGGCAAGAAAGAGCCAGTTTGGGGACAAATCTTTCACACCTTGTAGAAATCAAATGTCCTATGGTTAGGAATCTTGTTTACTTGAGTAACCATAAGTTTTAGGGAATGGTGATGTTTACTGTCTGTTTTCAGCATATTCATTTGAAATATTTCTTCTCCTGCTCAGATAATAGGCAAAAAGCTTAGCTTTAGCTAACCCTTGTTGTCAATCTATGCCTGTTGGAAGGCAGGGCTTCTCCTGTCATCTGTGCTGCAATCTAATCAGTGCATACCTTGTTTCACACAGTACCGTATCCCTCAACTACTGAGAGTTTCATCCTCCATTATCAATATAGACCATTCTTTTAATTCTTCCTGTGCTGTTTCTACTAGTTCTTTCACATGTGCATTTTCCATTCACATATTTTCTTCATGCCAGTAATCATTTTGCTGCAAATCTATTGTTATGTTGTAGATGGAGGGAGTTATTTTGAAATGACTAATGTTGACACAATAGCTTAAGTGGAAAATTAATCAAATTTATTTCTCTGTCCTGTGCCCCCTCCACTGCCTCTCCTCCCCCCACACCTCACATCTTTTAGTTAATTTCTTTTTGAATAGAGGAAAAAAAAGTTGCCTTACTGTATTTTTACTGCAAAATGCTCTTGGTATCAGTCACAGCACCAGCAGTACATTGCTGTCTAGTCCTGCCGAGTGTATTTAGCACTAGACATTGCTAATAACATCAAATGCTTATGAACAGTTTTCATGCTAACATTTAATTTTTTATCTACAATCAGATACAGACAACTGATGTAGATGTTGATTATTCATCTATCTTGAAAATGAAGCAAATTAGGCAAAAAAAAAAGTTAGTTTGAGCTTCCTGTTTCTCATGTAAATTATGTTCTTTTAAAACCCTTAGGAAGCAAAATTCCATTATTAGCACGTAGACGTTTTCTCCTTTCTCTCAAATAATGAAACACAATTTGGGAAAGAGCATACGCTGTTGTAATAGTTTTATGGATTCATGTTCCTGGAAAACAGCATCATTTCCTTCTCATACCAAACTTTTTTCAACATGCATTACCACACTGGTATGCTATATTTCTTATTCACATATTTTAACCTTAACATATAAACTCTCTTGATGGATTTGGGCATTTAGTGGATTTGAAATTAAGTTTTTAGTTTTTTTCTGTATAAACATGAATTCTAATAGGCAGGGATAGTTACATAACTGCACTTCAAAGCAGTCTGCATAAAAAAAGCAGTTACAAAGCAACAGCTTTGCCTTCAGCGATCACACTCCAGTGACTCATTCAAGTGACCTTATTTGCTTATTAGAAGCTCTAGGTACAGGTTTCAAATGTCATAGCACCAGAATTTACTTTTTTTTTTTTTTTTCCCTCTTCTTTTTTCCCCTCTCTCTCAAGTACATCTTTGCAGCATTTTCATAACACTGTTCCTGGGATTTCAGGTTACATGTAGCTATTTACTTATCTACAACTGTGACTTCAAATATATTTATTCACTCTAAACCCATGACAACAATAAATATACTATTTTTTTGTTATTCATTCCCTCTAGCTTTTAAATGCCTTATATGGCATGATATGCCATATAAATATGGTAACATCTGTAATGAAGCAACCATTTAATCCTACATTTTTTACCTACTGCTTGTCTAGTATTTGAGAATATGAAACCAAGATACAAATAGTATCGTATCTCTGTATGCTATTAGAGGTTTGCATTGCCCAAAATTTATGGACTTCCATACGAATAAAAAAAAAGTCTCAGCATTTGAATGTCTTGCACTGGGACACATCTTAGGGGTATATGATGTGGCAGAATCACACAATGGGTAGAAAGTAGCTACCCATTTTCAAGGGAATTCCACAAGACAATACACAACATGGAAATGGTAGACTAGCATATAAAAATGGTCTCCAAACTCCAAGCTGTGGCAGTTCATATGATTTTTGACTGACTGGTTGTTCAGAAAGATGCCAAGTGCCATTGTTCCAAGTGGTACAATGAGGACTGAAATGAGGACTGAAATGTCTACTAGACATTATTTCCTTCACAAAAGTACAATGAAGTAAAAGTATGGTTTGCTACGTCAAGAGCCTACTAGTAAAGAAGACCTAAAGAAGAATGAGATCTTTAAGATCAAAACAGTTGAATATCTGCAAATACGTAGGCCAGAAAGGCAATAAGCTCTGTATATCTCAACATATCTGATAACCTATGTGAGAAATTGTATACACCAACAATTTAACCACATACTACATATACATATATACAATACAATGATGTTTCGATAACATACTAATAATTCAAACTCATCCACTTATAGGCAAACTCAAATTAACTTGAATAATCTAGTCTGCTGAAACAAATTAAAATCCAGATATGGGTTACTGCAAGAAGCTTCATTTCCTACAACTTCCAATATTGTTCAGATAAATTTTCTAGTAACAGAATTTAATAAGTACACTACAGTATTTTGCACTTAGGCTAATTCAGCAATTGCTTCTCTTCTGAGTGTAAAAACAACTGACTATTGACTTCTCCAAAGAAAATAGCAACAAATTCACATTTAAGGTTTAATGTTCTGATTCCTTTACAAGTTCCATACCGAGAGAAAAATGCTTTAAAAATGGAAAAAAAAAAAAAGTGAAGATTTAACATAACATATGTCAATATCTCCTATTTACATAAAACATTTTCTAAATTTTAACTGTTATAGATTCCATTACAAATCTGGACACAATTTATGGCTGTAATGGCAGGACAAGAGTCAGAAAGAAAGTTCTTCAACATTAGAATATCCCTAATATATCTGAAGAACACAGATACTGACAAGTGTGTTGGATACATTAGCAAAGAAGAAAAGATGGTGGAAGCAGGGCGTGTGAAAATAAATAGAGTAAAAGGGAAGCAATAGCTGCTACCACTGGAAAAAGGTTCTTTTAAAAACTGACATTAGAAATAGTTTTACATTGTTTCTATACTGTATGTGTTTGACTATTATAAAACATTTAGCTGTAAGAAATAAGCTTCATTTTTCGTTGTCTATGAGCTAATGTAAAGTATTGATCAAGTCAGCTCTTATTGATTAATAGTTCAGAAATCTCAACCAAGGAAGTTAATGTCAAAAACAAATCTAATCAAATAATTTGCGTCTCTTATATGGAATATAAGGGAGACTTCCCATTGATTTGGTTTGTTGATAAAATACTTCATAACCTTCACTTTCAGTTCCAAAAATAAATATGAATCCCTCTTGAAATGCCAAAAAATGAGGCATTCTATTTTCACCTACACTTTGAAAATTGTGTTGTCCTTTTCTTCTTTTACACTGACTCACTTTCACCTGTCTTAATGCTCTCAATGCTAAGGTATTGGGAGAAAAATGTACATAAAAGTCCATTACAGAAGATTAAACATTTATTTCTGTACAATTTATTTACTAACCATTAAAGAACAATTGTATTGATGACAAAAAAGCTGTTGCTTACCTTTTACCTTCTTAAGTTTGCATTCATTTAAAAAACAGAATTAAAAAAGTAACTTTGAACTAAACATGTGAGACAATAAAGGATATTTTCCTGGAATTTCAACGCCCACTCTGTAGTCCACATAACTTTGATATGGATGAAAGTTGAAAATAAAAACGAGGTTGGCTCTCTCGAATGCAATGACCTTATTAGATTCATGCTTTTCAGTCACAAAGGCCTAGAAAGAAAGGTTTTTCAATACTATAAAATAGTATCTCATTTTTATTTCTTTTGTCAATTTAGTTAGAAAACACTGCTGTTATACCTGTGTTCTACTTAAAACAGGCTGTTAAAGATTCAAACAATATTATAAATACTGGAGTTGGCACACCAACTAAAGATCTGTTGTATTCAACAGATTCAACAGCAAAATTCTACTTGCTAAAGCCATAAATGACTATTTAAAAAAAAAGGTTTTTTTAAAATCGTGATTATAGCATTACATAATTCTTCAGCTATCAAGCTAAAAATATCAATATCAATAAAGCTATCAAATAACTGAAAACATTAAAATCAGAGAAACTATAATAATTGATGATTCATTTTAATAAAAATTATAGTACAATATTCAGGAAAAAAGACAAATCCAGAAGTGACACTTAAATAACAAAGACACTAGAACTTATGCTACAGTGTACCAAAAGTGTTTCATCAGTAACAGAGTAATTACAGAGTAAATTGTCAGAAGAATCTAAATTTTTCCCAAATAATACTTGGACTGGATTACAGACAAAGTTTTATAGTCTGCTTTAATCAATGTGTAGCTACTAAATAAAAATAGCAAAAGTCATAGGAATAAAAAAAAAAAAAACCTTTCTGTGTAGCTAAAAGCTATTTTAGATTTTACTATCTATAGAAGATATTTCAATGACATGTTTTGACAACTTGAAATATACTGTGGGGCATTATGCAGTGCATAATAAAGTGGTGCTTAAAATTTCTGCATGCAAATCTTGTATTATTGTTATTCTGAATACATACACTACTGGTGACTAAAATCTTAACATTTAGTCTACACAGCTTACCGGGGGAGATGCAAGCCAGCCAAATCTTTCCTCCAATTTATTCATATCTTTGTCAAATGCATTTAGGAATCTATAGCGAAGAAGATGATCTTCAGTTAGATTAAATTGTCTTCTGGCATAGTGGTAGCTCTCATTATTCCCTTTTCTGGGAAAGTCAAGCCATTCTGGATGTCCGAACTCATTACCTGTATTTAATAATATTAATTAGGGATGCATTAGAACACAAGATGAAAAAACTTTTAAAAAACCCTTATAATTAAAATTGATTTCTTTTCTACAAATTTTCAATTCCATAGAATAATGTTCCTTATGTAAAATGACACCTTTATTACTAAAATTTTTCTCAGAATGCTTGTATTTGTTAAGAGGTTTGACTAGCCAGTGAAACTGTCAAAACAAAATATCCCTAAACTCCTGTGAAAGCACAGACCAGGTTTCAACCTCTACACTATCATTTAATGCTGAAATATTCCTAACTCTCATCCTTAATCAGGGCAGCAGAAATTCAGGATATAAATTTTAGAGTTACTATGAGCCTAAACATATCACCTTAACAATATAAGCCCACTGAGAGCACTGAAAAAAAAACCCAAACAAAGAACAGAAAAACCCCACACTATTAAATGAAAACTATAAAAAATGAGAGAGCCTAGAAACTGTTCCTCAGCTTCCCAGAAACGTCCAGGGGGCATTCATTTGCTAAAGATACAAAACTCGGAGAAGTAGTTTGTACATCTGAGGCCTATGCTGCCATTCAGAAGGACTTCACTGGAGTGGTGAGATGGATGGAAAGGAATCTCCCAGAGAAATAACCCCCTGTACCAATGCAGACTGGGGGCTCTTCTCTTGGAGAGCAGCTGTGTACAGATAGACCAAGGAGGCCTGGTGGCCAAGTTGGCTATGAGCCAGCAATATGCTCTCGTGGCCAAGAAGGTCAATAGTATTCCAGGTTAGGAAGAAGAGTGCCAGCAAGTCAAGGAGGGTGATCCTTCCCCTTCACTCAGTGCTAGTGAGGCTGCCATCTGGAACACTGCTTCCAGTCCTGGCCTTCCCAGTACCAGGGAGACGTGGAACTAATGGTACGAGTCCAGCTGAGGGCTACAAGGATCATGGAGGGACTGGAGCATCTCTCCTACGAGGAGAGGCTGAGAGAGCTGGGCCTGATCAATCTGGGCAAGAGAAAGCTGAGAGGGATCATATCAATACATATAAGTATCTGATAGGAGGGTGCAAAGAGGACGGGTTCAGTGGTGCCCAGTAATAGAGTGAGAAGCAATGGGCCCAAACAGAAACACAAGAAACTCTGAACATGAGAAAACAACAACAAAAAGCACACACGCTTTACTGTGAGGGTAACAGAGGATGTCCAGAGAGGGTTGTGCAGTAAGGACACTATCCTTACAAACATGCTCTAGGTGACCCTGCTGTATCAGGAGTAATTTGGACTAGATGATCTCCAGAGGTATTTTCCAACCTGAACTAGGATTAGGGAATCACAGTAATTGCAGTAGAGGACTAGACTATATGCAATAAACCACAACATGTAATAATGATGCATTCAGTCCTTGACACTGAAAAACAAGCGACTCAAAGGCTTTAAACAGAGCACAGTTAGGGATAATTCTGCAAGCAGCTTTCACAATAAACTGCAGCTTTACAGTTAAGTGAAGGACAGAGAGAGGGCGAGAATGAAGGTGGTATTTCCTGGATGGAGCGGCTGGGTGTGTAGTTGCTATCTGCTATCTCAGGTAGCAGTGCTACCTCGAAGGTCCATGGAGACAGTCAGCAGCGACAGCTACGAATTTAGATATTCAAAGAGATTTCTATTTTTTCTTTTTTTTTCTTTTTTTTTTTTTTTTTTGTGTGTGAATTTCACAGGAAGAAAGAAATGAACAAAGAGCAAAAGAAATACGCTGCCATTATATTTAGGAGAATCCTTTACAATGGCATCCATTTTGTAAACAAATTGACAAGTTGTAAATTAAATTTCATGTTCAGAGGCTAAACCACTAAATTTCCCATTCTGTTCAAAGACACAGGCAAATAAAAAAGAATCAGAATCACAGCAGGACTTTGAAAATGACCTTGGAATAACACTGGGCTGAGCTCTTAAAGTGTGCTAACAAGATGGTGTAGAAAATGAGGAAAGATATTGCTACAGAACAGAAACTGTATCTAACCATACTCAATATTCTCTTAAGATCTGGGCAAGGTATTATCTTCTTCTGTGATCTGTGCACTATTGAAAAAGATGGACTACATGAGATAGCTCAGATAACAATAAAACACCAAGTTGAAGACAGTGTGCATACTGAAAAGACAGCCAAGGAAATCATACCTACTTATTCAAGAAAAATAAAAGTGGAAGTAAGCAATAAAAGAATTTTAAAAAGTGAGTAAATTAGACTAAAGTAGCACATAATTTCAGCAGATCATTTCACCAGAAGTAGAGCACTCCTTTATACTCTTCACATTTATACTGTTCACTCTTTCCCCACAATAGCTACAGTTGTTTGAATGCCTATTTAAAAAAAAAGGCAGTAAAAATAAACAAAATAAATAAAAACAGATAAAGGATATAAATAATAATAATTTAACACAGTGCAGGAATTGAATAAGAGTAAACTATTTGCTAATATCAGAAAAACATATTCAAGTTCTAAGCACTTATGGCTTACATATTAATTACTATTTTTCCCTATATGACCACCTTCTGGGCAATGTACCTGCAAGCCATTTATATTTATAATGTTAAAGGTGAGAGAGGGATTTAAGAAAGAACAAGAAGTCTCAAAATTGAGAGAGAGAAACCTCTAGTAGGTTTTTTACTTTTGGTATTAAAGCATAGCATAGGGAAAAGAAACAAACATTTAGGACACAAGCAGTCCCTGTGATAGACTGCAAAGAGTATTTTGGTACTCGAGAGAGGCATCAAGGCTATACATCCTTCAACAAGAAATACGCGTCTCACTACACATTACCCAATATACATTTCTCCTGTTCTATTTTATAAAATAAATACAAAATCACCGCTTTTTCTTAGTTTAACTTCAAAATGAATGAGAAGGGGTTAGGAATTAGGAGGTGACTGATTAATGGCATCTGTAAAGTATGTGCTACTCATTTCCACATGTTTCACTTTTCATTTTTGACAAGAATCAGCAACATTCACTCCGGGATAACTGAGAAAACATCTAAGCACAGAAGTTCTATTGGGATTTCTTTTCCTGTAATTAATTTGCTGTCGGATGTGAAAGCCCAAACTACACATTGACAGGAAGGCAGCTGGTACAAACGATGCAGATCAGGACAATGGAACTAACGTGGGGGAGGCAGAGAATAAAGCTGAAATTAACTGAAATTCTGATTAGAGAAACAAAACAAAGACAAACCATTGCAGTGCAATGCATACTAATGATATCTAGGATGTAATTCAAGTTTGCTACTTCCTGTATGTTACCTATATTGCACACTTTTGCTGTGCACAAGATTTCAAGATCACAATTCTAATAAAAAAATTAACACCCTATTTACTATAAGGAAAATTTACAGCATTATTGTTTGTAACAATAGAAATCCATTTACACCAAAGAAGTACTTATGCAGCTGATGACTATTTTGCAGCTGAACCCCTTAAGTTATTAAAATATCATTGACCACTCTTTTCCAGACATCTACGTCAGCAACTCTCTCTTACAGAATGAGGCTAAACAGAGCACTGATGGCAATTTTAAAAGATGCAGGCAGGTAAGAAATGCTAACTTTTTCTTTTATTATTTTGTTTTCTGTTCTTTTTTTTTTCTGCTATATAACTAAACACGTATGAAATATTTTCAGGACAAAGTAGGTGAATTTATTTGATACGCCACAGAAAAGTAAAAAGATTATTTACATGCTTAAGATTGGACAAATTTAAAAAAGATTTAAATGTTATACATACACATTTAAAGCAGACAGATTTAGGATAGATTTTCAACTCATTTGCACTAATGTTTTTCCAAAGTAAGTGACGTTGCACTGATTTACACAAACCAGATAATCAACCCATACAGAAGTCATAATTGATTTGAATTTAATTTCACTGCTACTGTAAACAATGATGATAATGCACCAATCTGCAGAATAAAATACTTATTTGCTTTCTTTTTAAACAGAACCAGATCAGATCTAAATAGCATACCATATTCATCACTTTTCAAAAAAAAAAAAAAAAAAAACATTTCAAAAGACTAATCCTCATTTTTCCTTGTTATAAAGCTCTGCAGTATCATATTCCCTCATGTTTGTACCAAGTCTTCTTCAAAACTTCGCAACATTCATACTAGCAAAAACAATGAAAGTACATAGCCTATTAATTACCAGGACATGAACTCCAATACTTTCCTTCCTTGCTTGCATCTGTTTATCAAGCTAAATCACATGGATTGAGGGAAGTCTGCAAGGACTGGATCTGATTGCTAAAGTCTGGGAATCAGGGCAGGAAAATAGTGATACAAAACAAAATATGGCTATAAACTGAAGAATAAGCAATCAAGAACAACCTAGTCCTCTAAAGAGCATGCTACTTTTCAATAAAAATGGCTGAGGGATGGAAGAGTTAACTTAAAATTGCAAAACAGCTGGAGGCTATGAAAATCCTTCCACTAGAAACATTTCTATGCATTCTGTATGTATAAACTCTAGTCCAACACACCGTGCTAAAACACAATCAAGTTACACACGGAATATGACCCTGCTCCAGGGCAGCTAGTTGGAGTCAGTATTTACAAGATTTTATAACATAAGCCTTAGCCCACAGTATTTGGGCTTTGTCTTCCTATTTTTTTCAGTCCTCTGTCCTGCAATTACCATGAAATAATGAGACCTATGATAAATGTCTTGGTCTATGGTCTTTTCTACATGTTTATTATAGAAGTGTTAAGTAGATTTAAAGTCCAAAGCTATTTTGGATAAAATTTAAGCACACTTCTGCCCCCCTTTCATTAGTGTTTAACAGTTTAAAATGAAATTTTGTTTTCAGGTTTGTAGTATAAATATAAATAACTATTTTCTTTCTCCCATCTCCCCTTGTTTCCCACTGCAGCATAATATTTTAGAGACTAAGACTTACCATCCTTTCACATTAAAATCTGAGTAACAACTATCTGTGTTGTTGTTACACGGCAACAGTTTCCATCCTGCCATT